GATACTAATTAGTTTTAGGTGAAAATCTACAGAGCCGCTTTCTTATAATTAACTGTTGCAAAAAAAAATTAAGCTGATTTTTATGGAACTTTTTTTTGACGATATATTATATATCATGGTCTTATAGAACTTACTGAAATATTAGAGCCCTACGACAAGTAGTTTAATTTTAAAAACTCATCTAAGTTTGAGGACATGAGTAGTTTTTTGACGTTTGTTAAAATTAAAATTAGACGATTTACTTGGTGTAACGATAGAGTACTTGGTCTTAATGAACATACTAAACCATTATAGTCCTACGAAAATGGTTCAATTATAAAATTGTTGATTTGTGAAAATTTCTTTTTAGAAAATAGTCGAGATAACGTATTCGTTCATTCTCAATTATGTGTAATAAATCCACTCGGAATACTTTTAATCACTCATAAATTAATTTATTTTTTATTTATTAAGTCGATTATTTATAGGGAAGTTTATATAACTTGCCTCGAAGCAAAATACCAATACCAGCTAGTTATTATTATAATTATTATTATTCTACTCATTTTAACAATTCACCCTATCGAAAAAATAGAAATAAGTAGGTCATAAAACTTCCACGAATTATAATTTCACGAAAGAATTGCATCATTCTGTCATATGATATGTCGTGTTTTAATTCATTAAATTCTTATATTACATCGCCCTTACACACATAATAATCTTAATAACAAACAATTATGATATTAAGTGTTTATATAGGAGAGACCGGTGGTAAACATGTCAACTTAATATACATTTAGTAAACATAAGTATGTACTTAATATACATTTATTATACCCGGCAACTAATTTTTGCATCTTAAAAATTGAAAAAAAAAAATCATGCAGGTGTTGTGATATAATTCCTTGCCCCAATGCAACCCATCGGTTGGCTATTATCGGATGAAATTTTATGAGATATATTGCTAATAGTTGTGTAAATTGAAGTAATATTGAAAATAATCAATATTTTGGTTTTATTTAAACTAAAAATGTAACATATTTTTAAATGCTATAAAAAGTAAACCTCGATTAATTTTTTTTAAAGCACCGTTTTGAATCTTGGTTTGAGTCATCTTTTGAATTTTTTTGAATCGCAAAAAAATCTGAAATAAAATTTTTTGCATATCGTCACGTTTCAGAGGTTTCAGAACATTTTCGCATGCCTCAGAAAAAATGAATGTGTGTGTGTGTTTTGTGTGTCCGCAATTGTTTGTCCACGTTTTCGGCCGCACGGATGAACCGATTTGATTAATTCAGAAAACATTTCAATTCCTAGTGATAGGGAGATGTGCTGATTAGTTTTTGACAAAGGCAGGTTCAGCCATTTAGAAGATACACAGCTAAATGTACAAAAATGGCAGTTTTTGAGAAAACAGCATCCGATTTGAATGATTCACAAAACTATCTACTTGTGTTGATAAAACTATAGCTTTTGGAATTTTTTTTTTCAAAATTCATTTTTTCAGTAAATGCTGATAAACTAAAACTAAAAATAAAAATATTTTCATTGTTTTAACAATTAATGTAATTTTAATATTATTTTCTGCCGTAAGATGCGTTTTTCGTTCAGCCTCTGAAAAATCGTCTTATCGGGGTTTTACCGTATATGTATATATACATATACATATATGTATGTATATATAAAAATAAATTATCGTTATAGACGATTTAATAAGAACCGTGCACGCGTTGTCTTCGAGATTATTAAAAAGCGTTCGATGGACGAGGATATTTTAATTAATTTTAATTGGTAGCTAATTAGTTTGAATTGGCTGCAAATTATGATAGAATGCAAGATAAACGCCGATATGTACATTTATTAATATATACAGGGTGTCCCAGAGGTTGACGTCAAGACGAATCTGGATGATAGTATTGAAATTAACTCCTGAGAAAATTAGAAAAAAAAATCTCATGTTTGAAAATTATGAGCTTTTAAGTGCAACATAATGCTATGGTAAAATTATAATAATTTTATTGTGATTAATTTTTAATAATGTTGTTCATTTAAACTTTGGAACCGTAACCGTAAATAATATTTCTAACACAGTAAAAAATAATAGCACAATGGCCCAAGTTTTCAAAAATAAAGACTTTTTGTTGAACTATAAATTTAATTTTTTTAAATCGAACGACTTTCAGAGGCTCTTTGAATAAAAATGTACTATAGTGTGTTGACAAGTTTCATCAAAATTTGGCGCATTTAATCCGGATTGTAAATTGGTAAAAAAAATAATTGATAATTTTATTATTGAAAAGTTGCGAGTAAGTAAAAATATAAAAAACCTAAAAGTTATACGAAGCAGAACTTTAGTAAGAATTAAAATTAAAATCTGAATTATTTTTGATATTCAAAATCTAAAAAAAAAATTGAAAAAGAAATGTTCGTGACATATTTTTTCCAAAAGCAATTATTTTGTCAAAACAAGCAGAATGTTCAAAAACCTTCAAAACGTGAAGATATTCGATTTTTGGACGATTACAATAACTTACCCTACAGAAAGCTAAAAATTAAGTTTCCTGTATTTATTACAAATAAAAAAGATGAACAAGTGAATAGTCGAGTTTCGGCAGCCGTAGTGAGCACATCGTTCAAAATATTTATTTAATAGTATAATTTTGATTGTAGTGAATAGAAGAAATTATAACGGGTTATTATGGATACCGAGCCACCTGACCCGGGTGGCGGTGAGTCACAATCGTTATCAGATGTCGATATAAATACAAGTAGTGAAAGTGAATTGGAGTGGGATAATAATACATATTATGTCACAGAAGGTGACAAAATTCATTGGGTAAATGATACTACTAATATTAGAGATAAATCGGGAATAATTAATAGGAAAGATGGTGAAACATATAGAATTTATAATGAAAATAATGTAATGACTGGTAATAATTCAATAAATGACAGATCGGAAAGTACAAATAAAAGTTAAAAGCAGATGTAATTAAGAGGCAAATGCAAATCAAACTAGTGATAATAATTCAGTAGTAAATGAAAACAATGAAAACAATAATAATTGGTATAATATGTGTGTAAAGGACATGGAAACCATTAAAGAAATGAAATTTTATCAAGAAACGGATGAAGGCCCATTCATAGTGCATGCTGAGAGTAAAGATAAAAATATTGGAAGATTTCACCCAATGGCAGTAGGAAGAATCTTTCATAAACATTTAATAAATTTGAGTAAAGATATAGAAGAAATCAGATCAATCGGTAAAAATAAAATAAATATAGTATTGAAAAATTATAAGAGTGCAAATAGAATAATAAGAGAAAATTTATTAGAAATATTTAACATTAATGCATATATACCTAGACACAAATTAATGAGATCGGGAATTATCTTTGATATTGACCCAGAAATAGATGAAAAAGAAATATTGAGCAGTATTCGAAGTGATTGTGAAGTTTTGGCAATTAAATGTTTAAAGGGTAGAAATAATGAAACAAAAAAGGTTAGATCACAACGAGTCAAAATTGTATTTAGAGGTAATAAATTACCGGAAAGAGTTTATATACATTCAGTGAGTTGTAGGGTTGAACCATTTATTCAGAAAGTAATACAGTGCCACAATTGCTGGAGGTATGGTCACGTACAGGCCCAATGTAAAAGTAAAATACGTTGTAAAAAGTGTGCAGAGGAACATAAAATGGAGGTATGTAAAAGTGAATTAGTGATATGCGGTCTATGTTATCGAAATCATCTAGCGGATGATAAAGGCTGTGAGGTTTACTTGAAAAATAAAAAAATTAAAGAGATTATGGCAATGCAGAATATAACATATTCCGAAACAAGAAAGATAGTGCAAAACAATGGATACGCTGAAGCAGTTGGTAACACCAATCAGTTTAAAACATATGAAAGTAGTTACCCAGAAATCATTAATACCACTGCACGGAATTCAAGTACATCAAGTAGTAATAGGTATCAAATACTATCAAATTGGAAGGAAAAAGAAGAATATTATGACAAAGAAGTGTTAATGAGAATAAATAAGCCATATAATAGGAATAATATGAGAAATTTTTACAACAGAAATTTTGAACATCGGTCAGGGGTAGATTTAGTAGAAAGAAATGATAGTACTAACTCAAACAGAAGGAATAAAAGAAATGAGATTAGAGAAATATCAACTGCACGGAGGATACAATTGAGAAGTGATATTATGAATATAATTAAAAAACTAGAGGATCAGAGATATGGGATAGATGTAAATAAAGAAGATAATATGAATTTGATAAAAACAAAATTAGAATTAGTTTTAGAAAGTTTAGGTAAAGGTAGTGAAAAAAAATCATTAGAAATGGTTTATTCTGAAGGAATTGATTAATTATTTATTTAGCAAAGATTAATGTGTGAGTATGTAGGTATAAATTTAAAATTTAAAATTTAAAAATTATGTATGTATGTATGTATATATATATATGTGTGTATAATAAATATATATTGAAAAAGAAATAATAAGAAGATAGTTAAGGTTCTATTGTATTTATTTGTTTATTTGGTTAAGTAATGTTAAATCAATTAATTAATTATTGTTATTAATTTTTATATATATAAGGATTAAATTATGAGAATAATGCAATGGAATATTAGATCGTTTTATGCAAATAAAGAAAGTTTAGAAGAGTGGTTATATAATAAACAATTAGATATAATAGCATTATCAGAAACCTGGTTCAATAAGAATAGGCAGTATAATCTAAAAAATTTTAATTGTATAAGAAAAGATAGGAACGATAATAAAGGAGGGTCGGCATTATTTATAAATAAAAATATAGATAGTAGGGAATATGAAATAAATTTTGAATCAGTCGAAGATAATAATTGTCAAATGTGTGCAGCAGAAGTTAACGTTAATAAGGAAAAAATTTATTTGATATCATTGTATGTTGTTCCCAAAACGAATATTTCAAAAGAGCAATGGAATAGATTATTCTGTAAAATCCCAAAACCTTGTATCATTATGGGAGATTTTAATGTTCACCATTATGCGTGGGGTTGCTCATATAGTGATAGATATGGTAATGAACTATTGGAATCAATTGAAGAAAACAATTTATATTTAGTGAACAATGGAAGTCCGACTCTGGTATTCAAAAATACAAAAACGGTGGTTGATATAACTTTATGTTCATCAGAAATAATAAATAAGATAAAGTGGGAAGTGCAAAAGGAGTCACTGGGATCTGATCATTTTCCAATCCATGTTGAACTTAATGTGAAAAATGACAAATATATAAATACATCAGTAAGAAAATGGAATTGTAAACGAGCAGACTGGGATAAATATAAATCCGTTATAGAAGAAAAATGCGAAAAGATAGATAATTCTACAACAGAAGTTAGTTATAGTGAATTATTAGATTGGATTGATAGTGCAGCTAACAGCAGTATACAAATTAATAAGGTGAGAAATAAAACCAGAAGACCAATGTGGTTTGATAATGAGTGCTTGGATTTAATTAAAAAACGAAGAGAAATAGAAGCAAAATACAGAAATAATGCAAACTGGGAAAACTTTATGGAATGTAATAGATTCAAGGCAAAAGTAAGAAGAATTTTCAAATTGAAAAAAAGAGAAAGCTGGAATAATTATATAAATAATATAAAACCTAAAACGCCCGCTAGGAAAGTTTTCAAAATGGTAAGATCTATGCTAAATATGGGTGAATCGGGAAATGTATCAAAATGTAGTGATGATGTATTAGATGTTCTAGTAGACAAAATAGCACCACCAGGAGTTAGTTACAATATTGATGAAGATTTAAATGGGTATGCGGAAATGGAAAATGATTTATTAAGTAAACCGTTTACAAAATGGGAACTAGAAAAAACCTGGAATAAAAGAACGGATACAGCGCCTGGATTAAATAATATTCAATATTCAATGTTAAGAAACCTTCCAGAGAAAGGTAAACAAATATTACTAAAGATAATTAATAAATATTGGAAGAGGCCTGAATTAATTGATGACTGGCATATTAATAAAGTGATTTTATTAAGAAAACCAAATATAAATAGAAATGAAATAGATGCCTATAGACCAATAACTTTAAGCTCGTGCATAGCCAAGATAAAAGATAGATTGATAAAGAGGAGGCTAGAATGGTGGTTGGAACATAATAAAATATTCCCAAGAACTCAATTTGGTTTCAGAAGAAAACATAGTACAATGGATAATTTAAGTATATTTATTAGTGACATATATTTGGCATTTTCTAAAAATACATATGTTGTAGCACTATTTAGTGATATAAAGGGAGCTTATGACAATGTAATACCTAATATTTTAATGGATAAATTATTAAAGTTAGGTTTGCCATTAATTTTTGTACGAAGTATAATTTATAATGTTTTCAAAGAAAAATAGTTTTAGAGATGAATGATAGAAAATATGAAAGATACTTATACAAAGGACTTCCGCAAGGGGGTATACTGAGTCCTTTATTATATGCTTTATATGCTTATGACTTAAAAAAAATTTGGGTACCTGGAACAAAGATCTTACAATATGCTGATGATGTTGTGATTTATGTAGAAAGGAAAACATTAAAAGATGCTTTGGAGATTATGACAAACAATATTGATTTATACAATTTATGGTTGAGCAAAAATGGTTTAACATTATCAGAAGAAAAAAGTACGATTGGTATATTCACTAGACATAATAAAAGAAATTTCCCAACAAGCATTCAAACAAAAAATTATAATATAAAAGTTCAAGAAATAAATAATTTTTTAGGAATTTATCTAGATCAAAAGTTGGCATTCAAGACACATATAGAAAGTATTAAAAAAAGACAGAAAAAAGTATAAATATATTAAGAATGTTAAATAAAACTTGGAATGGTTTACATCCAAGTTCAGCATTAAACCTATATAGAGTATTAATTCGACCAAAATTAGATTATGGCTCTTGGATATTTAGTAACAGTAGAAAAATTCAAGATTTAGACAAGATTCAATATCGATGTCTTAGAATATGTATAGGAGCAATGAAGTCAACGCCAACAAATGTATTATTATTGGAAAGTGGAGAAATGCCATTAGAAATAAGACGAAAGCTCTTATGTGATAAATATATTTTGAAAAACATAATAAATAATGAATCTGTGTTGAATTACAAACTGATGGAAATATGGAGATGTATAGACAGGAGCACATATTGGATAAACAAAAAAGTACCAGACATTCTAAGCAGTTTTCAATTTTTAAAGGATTATAGGAAATTTAACGTAGTCCATGGAGTTCATCCATATTATGAAAAACTGTATTATAATAAAAGAACGATTGTAGTCAAAAAAGAGTATAAAAAGTGGATAGAACACGATGGACCTAATAGTATAATTTTATATACGGATGGGTCGAGAAATAATGTTTCACATAGAGTTGGATGTGCAATATGGATTGAAAAGGAAAAAATACCAATATGTTATAAACTCCCGGAGTTTATTTCTATTTATTCGGCAGAACTAATAGCTATTCGTGAAGCTGTTAGAATAGCTAAAATGAATAAGTATAAAAAAACTATGATTTTAACAGATAGTTTAAGTTGTGTAAATAAATTAGAGAAGTTCATGAATACAATAGAATTTGAAGAAAAAATATATTTTGAAATATTGAATGATATAGAGATAATTACAGGGATTGGAAATAACATAAATATTGGATGGGTACAAGGTCATATAGGTGTGGAAGGAAACGAAAAGGCTGATGAACTGGCAAAAATAGCAAGTGTAAGCGGACAAGAATATAATAAATGCTTATATGGTGACATAATTAAGAAAATTAAAATTAAATCAGAGGAGAGATGGAAAGAAGTATGGAGAGAAACATCGCAAAGAAAAGGAAGGCATTACAAATTATATAATGACTGTTTATCGTTTAAACCATGGTTTGAAGAGTTTAAAAATGAAGAAAGAAGTTTTATTGTCACCATCAGTAGGATAAGAACCAAACACGGAAGCTATGCGAAACACTTGCATAGAATAAAAGTGATAAATTCAGATATATGTAAATGTGGAGAGGAAGAAGGTACTCTGGAACATATAATTCTGGAATGTAAAAAATATGAAGAAAACAGAAAAAGAATGTTAAATTATATATATAGAAATTTAGATATTATCAAACCGTTTAACTTAGATCTATTAATTTGTAATAAGAATAGCTATAGAGTAATATATGAATTTTTAGTTAGATCAAAAATTAAAATATAAATATGTATATTTAAAATTATATAGAAAATATTTAAGTTAAAATGTATGTTATATGGCTAATTGTATAATAAGAGGAAGCCAATAAAAAAAAAAAAAAAAAAAAAAAAAAGAACAAGTGAAGTAAAATTTCACCAGAAAATTTTTTATTACCACATAAGTATAAATAAAATTTCTGACCTATCGCAACAACTTCAATAACAAAACAAGGAATACAAAAAAAATAGTTTTTTTATGACGCAAAATGTTTCATTATGCAATGTTTTTTCTGAAACAGCTAAAAATGAAGAAATTATATTGTTTTTTAAACGACAGAAATTAGTTTTGATATTTCGCAATAGCGAAAATTATGCGTTGCGTAAGATCAGTTGACATCGAAATTCATTCAGATGTAACAAAGTAATGATGATGATAATACTTTGTTGTTTTATAAATAAATACATTATTGTGCAGATTTGCATAAGATGCAAACGCAAACTAGAAGTGTATGACATATAGTACCATCAGGTAAGGGGGCGTCCATTAATCAGTGATCTATTTTTTACAATTACCCCAAACATAACGTATTTTTTAGTTACGAAAAAAAAATTGTAAATTTTTAATTTTTTTTTTGAGAATGTTCGATTTTTTTTTAATTTGATAATTAGATGTGTAATATGTGATGTACACCTTTTAGGTCTTCAAACCATAATTTTTGATCTTCGTTATTGGTATGGGACCCTAAATAAAGTCAGTTTCGACGTTTTTTTTATTTTATATATCATAAAGAATAAGAACCAGATAACGTAGAATATAAGAACCAGAGACGTAGAAGCCGACAAAACTTTCTGATAAATATAAAA